CTTCAGTATGAGCAGAAAAGTAAGAAGACGAATCATCTTGTATTCATCCCTCTTTCTTTTTATTATCCTCATATTCATCGTCTCAATTAAAGTGTGCTTACTAAAGTATAATACTGTATTTGCTAAGACTTATTATTGATTTATTGAGTGAATTCATCATCTTATATGTGTGTTGTGTATTAAGAATGTTTGAAATTGAAAAAAATGAAGATATGAGCATGTCAGTGTAAGCAGAAAAATGTGTTTAACTCTGACAGGAAGAGAAGCAAGAGACAGAATCTGATGGGTGACGTATATTTTAAACTTGTTGGGCTCTGCTCTATATAACTACCACAAACCTGCAATGTGCAAAAAGCATGCATGAAATTCATATCATGACCTGACGCTGTATGTGGAACTCAAGGTTGCCCGATGACTTTATAACAGACATCTTTGAATGACACCAAAACGCTCTCTGGGTTTCCTTTCATCTCTCTGCTGCCTAACCCTAACCAAAATGTTTTAGCGCCCAACACTTTGTCAGCTGCCGTCAGATGAGGATGACGCTGGGTAGTGCAGTGGATATTCTGTCAACTCATGGGAGGCAATGTTGCTGCCGCCACCTGCTGCTGTAGCTAGTAAACTCCTCTTAAACTTATGGATCTCTTTTAACAGATCTATGCAGGGCACAGTGGACAAAATTCCACAGATGCGTAACAAATGTAACATGATCCTCAAATTGACAGGAAGTGATCCGGAAATGTGCAAAAACTGTTTTGTGTGTAGAAATAGATCGAAAAATGCGTAAATAACACTTTGTATGTGAAATTAAAATATTTGTGTACAGAGAGAATTTTGATTAATTGCAAATTGCACTGTATTTATGTGGATATGAACACACACATAAATATACATGTTTGTGGGTAGTGAAATATTTACAGATTGTTTTCTACAGATTTCTGCGGTACAGATTGCTGTACAGACAAAATTCTACAAATGCATAAAAGGGAAAAGTGGACAAAAATTCCACAGATGCGTAACAAATGTAACATGACCCACAAATTGAGAGGAAATGATCCACAAATGTGTAAAAATCCTGTACGCAGGATAAGCGGTTGACGATGGATGGATGGATAAATCTTCCATATGATTGGTAAGGCCCTATCTAAGAAGTGCCACCCTGTGAAAAGAGAGAGACCGGTGTTTTCCGTAGATTGTCGGGGTATCCGGGTGTTCCGATCTGGCTGGATCTCTCTTGGTCATGCCAAAGCCCTATTTGTCCGATGACCTTCTGAGGGGTGGCCCGCTGCCCTGTCGCTTAGGATGGAGGCGTTTTTGGGCCGGTGGCCTGTGGCCGATTGTGTTTGGCCGATTGAGTGCTAGGTACTTTTGCTTTCCCAGCCCATACCGAGTTGTGTGATGTGGAAGACGTTAGGACAGCAACCTGTTGCTTTCATCCTTTGGTATTTGGTTAAACATTAATTCCAAGCTTGCCACGGGCTTATATCATATTGTTCGGTTTCGTTCGTCCGTTTTGATGATTTGATTTTCGATTCTCTCTTGGTTCTTGTTCTGACAGAGTGGTGATCTTTTTCGTCTCTAGCACAGCAATATTCCACAGGTGTTAACTACATTTCTGTTGAATGTGTGGTGAACTTTAGCTGCTTTTATTGAAAAAAACCAACATTTCCTTATAAAGTAGAGCTGACATCATGAAATTGCACGTACAATAATTTTTTCTTAGCACCCCCGACTATTGGTTTAGTCCCCCCTTAGCACTGGTAGAGAAAAAAATCCTGGCACCGTGCCTGACTATGACTCACTGATTAAACACACCCACACTCACACACTTACCCACACAGTTGACCAGGGAAACACCAGAGCACAGAACACATTAACAACCCCAGTGTCTTAGGTGAATAAATTCAGTTACTTCTCAGCTAGAGCTGCCTAACCTTATTAATCTCAGTGCAGCAGGGGAGTAGTGGAGATACGCCAAACTGTGGACAACACCGCACACCAGCACCCCGAATCTAGGAAGAGAAACACAACCGAGTAGGCCGTCACCCCTCCTAGATTTAGTGCTGAACAGCGCCGCCCCATTATTAGAGCGCCAGAGACTCATTAAACACACAAGCACACTCATGCTAATGTTGCTCAGTGTCTGCTGGATGTGGAAGCAGTCAACTGTTAACATGTTTGGCATAACATGTTCATAAGGTAATTACGTCTCTGCCTTTAATAATAATAATAATAATCTTTATTTATAAAGCACTTTATGTGCAAAGATAATAAAACACATAAAACAGTAAAAGAACAGATTAAAAAAGAAAAGAAAAAAAGGAAAGGCTCTCCGATCAAAGTATGTTTTAAGAAGGGCCTAAAAATAATTCACTGACTCAGCCACCCTGATTTCATCAGACTGGCTGTTCCAGAGCCTCGGGGCCCTGACCGCAAATGCTCTGTCCCTTCTAGTTTTTAGCTCTGGAACAGACAACAGACCTCTGCCCGAGGATCTCGATGTACATGCTGGTGTGTATGGGACTGAAAGGTCACAGATATAGCAGGGAGAGAGAGAGAGAAACGACTTCAGTCCCGTCGCCCTGACCTCTGTGGTAATGAAGAGCGCCTTGTGTTGTCCCAACTAAAATCCATCACAGACCCACTCCTGGAACCCTTGCAGTAAACATGGCCCTTCACTACATCCTCCAACACCTGGACTCCCCAGGAACCTATGCCAGAATTCCTGTTTGTGAATTTCAGCTCTGGTTTCAACACCATCATCCCGGCCCTGCTGCAGGACAAGCTCTCCCAGCTGAAAGTGCTATTTATTTTCATGTGTGCTGTAAGCACCAATTTATGCCAAGGCAAATTCCTCGTCTGTGAAAATGTACCTGGCAATAAAACTGATTCTGATTTCTAAGCTGGTAAAACATAATCGCACAAGCTTTATGGTGTGCTGCTCGAAACTTAAATTACTGTCGCACTAGACGCAAAGGTTCTTTGCAACAGTCTTAATGTGATTCACTAGGGAACCAGCAGATGGCAGTATTTGCTTTACCATCTTCTGGGACCCAATGACCGGGATCTCTGTTTTGTTCAGCTGGAGGAAATTGTTTGACATCCAATTTTTGACATCACAGAGGCAGTCGGTAAGTGAACTCAGCATTTAAGGGTCTGTGGATCTGACGGGCAAGTATATTTGTGTGTCATCAGCATAAACATGAATATCATGTTTCTGGACAATGTGTCCAAGGGGTAGCTAAGCAATTTTGAGCGTGGCATGGTTGTTGGTGCCAGACGGGACAGTCTGAGTATTTCACAGTCTGCTCAGTTACTGGGATTTTCACGCACAACCATTTCTAGGGTTTACAAAGAATGGTGTGAAAAGGGAAAAACATCCAGTATGCGGCAGTCCTGTGGGCGAAAATGCCTTGTTGATGCTAGAGGTCAGAGGAGAATGGGCCGACTGATTCCAGCTGATAGAAGAGCAACTTTGACTGAAATAACCACTCGTTACAACCGAGGTATGCAGCAAAGCATTTGTGAAGCCACAACACGCACAACCTTGAGGCGGATGGGCTACAACAGCAGAAGACCCCACCGGGTACCACTCATCTCCACTACAAATAGGAAAAAGAGGCTACAATTTGCAAGAGCTCACCAAAATTGGACAGTTGAAGACTGGAAAAATGTTGCCTGGTCTGATGAGTCTCGATTTCTGTTGAGACATTCAGATGGTAGAGTCAGAATTTGGCGTAAACAGAATGAGAACATGGATCCATCATGCCTTGTTACCACTGTGCAGGCTGCTGGTGGTGGTGTAATGGTGTGGGGGATGTTTTCTTGGCACACTTTAGGCCCCTTAGTGCCAATTGGGCATCGTTTAAATGCCGCGGCCTACCTGAGCATTGTTTCTGACCATGTCCATCCCTTTATGGCCACCATGTACCCATCCTCTGATGGCTACTTCCAGCAGGATAATGCACCATGTCACAAAGCTCCAATCATTTCAAATTGGTTTCTTGAACATGACAATGAGTTCACTGCACTAAAATGGCCCCCACAGTCACCAGATCTCAACCCAATAGAGCATCTTTGGGATGTGGTGGAACGGGAGCTTCGTGCCCTGGATGTGCATCCCACAAATCTCCATCAACTGCAAGATGCTGTCCGTCAATATGGGCCAACATTTCTAAAGAATGCTTTCAGCACCTTGTTGAATCAATGCCACGTAGAATTAAGGCAGTTCAGAAGGCGAAAGGGGGTCAAACACAGTATTAGTATGGTGTTCCTAATAATCCTTTAGGTGAGTGTAACACAGCCTACACAGGATCAGTGGTTGTGGTGGTGGTTCGGTGAGCGTGCATAGGAAAAACCTTCTCCTCGGCTACTTCATATTTTATTGCTGCAAAATAAACTTTTTTTTATAAATAAGAAAGTTCACATTTAACTGTCAAATGCAGTGATTACACATTGAGGACACATAACGGCAAGCTCATCAGACGCTTCCTAAAAGAAAACTTTGTTCACGAGTCCCGCACCTCGAGTCCGAAGCCTGAATTATTATTAATATTGGTTACATTTCCTTCTTCCCAACTGGGACTCAGTATGGCTTATATCATGAAACTCAACAGGACTTAACTTTATTTAATGCATTTATAATCTTAATAATAATTAATAAAGAAGATGTAGTCTGCACTTTACTGTGAGGTCTTGGTATGTTCGGGGCTTGAATCTTGTCTCAGTGCTGTATGTTATGGCTGACTTATAATGTAAACACACAAATTGATGAGGTCATATTCAATGTGTAATCACTGCATTTGACAGTTAAATGTGAACTTTCTTATTCATAAAAAAAGTTTCTTTTGCAGCAATAAAATATGAAGTAGCCGAGGAGAATACCCAGGCCATTCTGCGATGTCCGCACTCTGTGACGGGTAAAGTGACGTGGTGGAAAGAGTGGAATAGAAAAAAAATTGCACTACCTATGCCTATTAACGGAGACATGAGTCACATACTTGTCCCAGACAGACGATACTTTTTATTGGAAGATAATTCACTTACGATTAGCAAAGCTGGCCTCTCAGACACTGGAAGATACTACTGCAATAATGAACCTGTGGAGCTGATAGTGACCCCAAGAGGTAACTTCAAACATTACTCAAGTCGTTCTGCTTTCTGTTTTCTTTTCTCAAAATTATGCCTCTGAGCTAAATTTTTCATTTTTCTTAATCTTTGATAACAGAAATTTATCGGCACATTAAGGAAATTGTAATTTCAAATGTGTTCTGTTGTACTTTGTCATTAATTTTAAATTTACTAAACTAAATATTAAATTTACATTTACTTCCTGTTTTATAAAGATTGTAATATGCTTCACTAAATATGAAATCAAACTCTATTTTTCTTTTAAACTGCCAAACTCCCTGTGTCTGATCACATCCCAGTGCAGGAATAATAAAACTCAAACTGAGCTTCTCACAAAGAGAATGAGTCACAAATAGCTTTGAAGATTCTTGAATGTTACTGAGTATAAACTGTGTGTTCTAACTTTTAGGGGTTTGATTAAACTGAATGTTTAATCTTGTGAGCAGGTCTCACAGGAAATTTTATCTTCAGACTGTTTAAATACTGTAAAAGACATCACTGCTCTTCTTCATGTAGAGTCAGGAAATATTACACCAAATTAAATCCTCTCATCTAAAACCTCATTCAGGAACTTTTACATGGACTCTTTAAACTTTTTAATACCTCTGTCAAGTAACAGGTTGTTTGATAAATGCATGATGGAGCATTATGAAACATGAATGTTGTTTTCTTTGTTGTGTTCAGGGACAGAGAGTCTCACGGCTGCAGAGAGGACCACTGTCACTCTGAAATGCCCTCCTGATGTTGGCGGCTCAGCTTTTCCAAAAATGGAGCCGAGAGTCTGGTGAAATACAGCAACAAAGACGTTTTTATGTTTCATCTTATGAAAAGACGTTGACTATAATCCACGTGCAGCCTTGTGACTCCGGACTTTACTACTGTGATGGAAAACCAGCTGCGTATCTGATTGTGATCAAAGGTGAGAGACCTGAGAGGGAACAGACATTTTAATTAGGGTTTAATGCTGACTTCAAATAAATGTCAAGAGACTGTTTCTACAGAATAGGAAGTAACGTACACCCTGCTCTGTGTTCAGGTGCTCAAAAAGTACATGTGGCCTTAAAATAAGATATTTTCTCAACCTCTGTGTCTCTCGTCCAGATGATGATGGGCCTGTGGTTCAGCCTCTGTTTGTTCCTCTGGTTGTTTGTGTGGTCGTGATTGTCCTGCTGTTGGCTGGTTTTCTGCTGCTGCTCTACAAATGGATGAGAAACAGAAACCTCAGATCTTCAAATGGCAGAAATGTGGAGGTAACTCTCTTCTACTCTTTCTGTCTCTGTTTACTGTTAAACTCAGTGTCAATGATGTCTCCTAATATGCTGAGGAAAACCTGCTCAAGAAAATAAAATTACACATTAGATAAAACTTTTTGTGACTTGAATCAGAACATGATACAATGCCACTATTGGATCTGTATTTTAAATAAAATAAAAAGAAAAGATGTGTGAAACTTTTGGAATTTCAAGGTTTTCAGCATAAATTTGTTATAAAATATGATCTGATCTTCATCTAAGTCAAGGGTATTGAAAAAATTTAATGTGTCTAAAATAACAACACAAAATAAAATCTGATCCCTTCATTAAGAACAACAAAAAAAAAACCTCATGGTGAGTGTGCAATGTTAACCCTTAAGTTAATGACCTCAAAAAAAGCCAATTGGAGTCAGGTTTTAGCACACCTGGAGTCTCGTTGAGAAAATGAGTTTGACTTTGGGAGTTTGCTCTGCTCAAGAAAAACATGCTGCCTCACCAACAAGAGCTTTCAGAGGATCTATGATCAAGAATTGTTGATTTACATAAAGCTGGCAAAGGTTTCAAAGTGATTTCAAAGATTTTACAGTTTACAGTTTACAGTTTGTCAAACATTCTACAAATGGAGACACAGAAGTGGGCGCCCAGTCAAAATGTCATCAAGAGCACAACCAAGACTCATCAGTGAGGTAAAGAAACGACCCCAAGTGACAGCCAAAGATTTGAAGGCATCATTGGAACTGGCTGACATCTCTGTCTACAGTACATTAAACACTGAACAAGCAGAGTGTTGTGGAAATTATATTCCTGGTGAGGGGCTGAGCAAATAATTGAGTAACAACAAACTGCTATCTTTGAAGAATTTATCTAACAAAAGAGAATAAACAGAAGTACTAAAACCGAAATCAGCTGGACCAGAGCTTCTGTCTCCTAAGACAGTCACTAACGTCTGGCCCCGAGCAAAGGGATGCATGATCATTTACACAGTCTAGGTTTCTATGTTTTGGGGAACAGAGATCCTCTCTTGGCCTTGAACGATCATTCCAGGAGAGGAGAGGAACAACAAGAGAGGAAAACACCAAAACAATCTCACAGCTCTGACCTAAACCCTAGTAAATGTGGACAGACTAACAGAAGTATAGGAGAGGAAGGGTTGAGGATAAAATACAACACATAATAATAATAATAATAATAAAATTAAATGTAAGAGGAAACAATTTTCTGCCATAACACAGTATCTACAGCAGAACACACAAAGGAAGCTGCTCACTATAAAGGACACTGCTGCACGCCTGACATTTGCGAAAGAGCACATAGCGGTTTTGGCAAAATGTTTTGTGGACTGATGAAACTAAGATTTAACTACTTGGACGAACCACACAGCACTACATCTGGTGTGGAAAGGGCACGTCATATCATCATGAAAACATAACCCCAACTGTAAAGAATAGTGGAGGCATCATCATGATTTGGGCCTGCTTTGCTGCATCAGGGCCTGGCCAGTATCAAACAGATGTATCAAACAATTATTCAGGATTATGTGAGCACGTCAGCTGAAACTGTGTAGAAGTTGGGTGATGCAACAGGACGACGACCCCAAAACACCGGAGCAAGTCCACAACAGAATGGCTTCAGAAAAACAAAATCTGCCTTCTGGAGCGGCCAAGTCAGAGCCAGACCTCAACCCAGTAGAGATGCTATGGAAGGACTTGGAGAGCCAAAGAATAAGACGGCGCTAAAGCAGTTCTGCCAGGAAGAACAGGCTAAAATTCCTCCTGAATGATGTGCAGGTCTGATCCATGGTTACAGGAAGCACCTGGTTGAGGGTATTGCTGCCAACGGGGTTCAACCAGTTATTGAAGGGTTCACTTACCTTTTGCACTGCCATGTTGAATGTGTGTGGTCAATGAAGACCTGAGGGATTATTATATTTGTCAGTACCCTTGACTTGGGTTAAGATCAGCTCACATTTTATGACAAGTTTATACAGAAAACCATGAAATTCCAAAAGGTTCACATTTGTTTTCTTGCCACTGTATCTTTTATTTTCAGCGATCTGTCATCCACGAGAACAGGACTCCAGTCTCCACATGTGAAGACTCAAATTACCAGAGCCTCGATCCAGCCAGCACGAACCGGGACCAGATCTACTCCTCAGCTGGCGTTGTGTAACTCCCAGAAGACAAATAATTTAATCCGCACAGAAACATAAAAATGACAAATGAGATTTAAAATTGTTTTTTGAGCTTTAAATGTGTTCTGTGTAATCGTGATGTTTAAAGTTATTTAAAATGTGCTGATATTTGAGATGATTTGGTTTCACTTTAAAGGCATAATGTTCAGCAGTGGAAATCTGTTTCAGTCTGAGCAGAAAAGTAAAAAGATTCCTCTTTGTATTATCATCTTATCCATTAAAGTCTGGTTGCTTTAGTATAATACTGTATTTTCTAAGACTTATTGATTGAATTCATCATCTTATAGACGTGTTTTGCATTAAGAATGTTTAAATATATTGAAGATCAGCATTTCAGTTTAAGCAGAGAAATGTGTTCAACTCCGACAGGAAGCGTAGCAAGAGACAGAATCTGATGGGCGACGCACGTGTCGAACTTGTTGGGCTCTGCTCTATGTAACTAACACAAACCAGCTGCAATGTGCAAACAATTTACAAAACGCAAGCATGCAATGAAATTCATATTCTGACCTGACGCTCTGTCATCTTGACGGTGGCTAAGGATGTCAGCTGATCATCAGGTGTGTGTTTGGGGAACTTAGAGGTCTCTCATCCTGCCCGATGGCTTTATAACCGACATGAACGGCACCAGAACGCGCTCTCGTTTTCCTTTAATCTCTCTACATAAGAACTCAGCTTAGCTCAGAACCAGCTCTGTTGTAAGGCTTATTTTTTGGGTTTGTATAACCTGGAGTGTTTAAGATTAATGTCTGAAATGGGCCCTTCTCCCACTTTTAGTACTTCAAGTGTACTTTGATGCTGATACTTTTGAGTTGGAATGCTTTTACAGAGTATTAATATTTTTTATTAAGTAAAATATTTAAGTAAATCTTTCACCACTGCCAAAATGTAAATAAATATAGGCTGAAAATAACTGACTCCATGGCATTTTATAGTTTTTATAACATTGTACTTCCTGTTTACATCCCCTTAAAACCTCCAGATTCTGGACCTGTAGTGGAACAATTTAGAGCGTGATTATATACCAAATCAATTAAAGACAAAGAACAGGAATGACAAAATCCATTAATATGAACTTTTCCTGTTGCACCATCAACATAAAAAATGCTCTCCTTCTCCTCCTTAGCTCAAGATCTAATCCTGTCATTTTAAAGATAAAATCTTATGTTTAGTCCATTTATTCCGTCTTTCCATTTATTTACAAACATGAAAAACTCAGTTTATCCTGTTCAGTATTTAGTTTTATGTTCAAAATTTCAAAATGCTTTTATATCAACTAGTATTGAGGTTTGCAACCAGCTGAATAACCTCGTCTCACGCTGTGTAGGAAAACTACGGTGGCCACTAAAGGTCCTCTCTAGAACCAGTGTTTAATTTGTCCGTTCTGGGCTTCGGTGGAAACACTGCAGACGATGAGGACCATGGATGTATTACTGGAACTGAACACAGCGCCGCTGCTCAGCCTTACTTCCAAAAAAATTCCCCTGCAGCCCAAAAAGCATTTTCCCCAATAAACAACTATTATGAAAGAGACGTCTGTGAAACTGTTGACAGGACACCTCCAACTGCAAACAAGGTCAATTAAGACTTTAAGAATTTTTGATCCATTTACTCAAAAATCGACTATTGTTGGATAATTTACCTGAAAAGGCGCCATCCTACAGTCTGGTTGAAGCGCTGTGTAGTGTGTATATATAATATATTGTTTTATTGTGCTGATGTGTTGCATCTTGTGACGTCGTGACCTACCTGGAGACAACAGATAAAATATAGTTTGGGTTAATTCTGGCACATTTACATTGCTGAAAAGCAAATATTATTATGAGTTGTATTTTTTCCCTGTGGGTTTCTGGTTTTTGCCATTATTTCCTTAGTCCTGTGCTTTTGTTCATGTTAGTGTTTTTCTGATCTGCGTACTTCTGTGTTTTATCATTATGGTCTGTGTTTTAGTCCTTAGTCTTATATCTCCATGTTTTAATGTAGTCTTGCCTCCTGTTTGGTCCCCGTCTCTGTCCGTGTCCTGATTTTGCTGTCTTTCCATGGTTTGTGTTTTACTTTGGTAGATCTGTCCTTGTGTGTTCCTGTGAACTTTACTTCCTGTTTTATTTTGGTAATCCTCTGTAGCTGGTGTCCTTGTCTAGCTTTGTTCTTGTGGTTGATTACCTGATGGATTTCAGCTGTGTATATGTTGTCCTCACTTGTCTTCAGTCTTTGTATCAAATGTTGAGTGTTTGACTTGTGCTCTGTTGTCCCTGTTCTGGATTATTCCCTGTGTTTTTGGATCGCCTTGTGTTTGATGGATTTACCTCAGTTTGGACTTCCATGTAAGCTTGTTTCAGTTTGGTTTTTGAGTCAATAAATCCTTTAGAACTGCATCCTCGCTTTTGGTCTGCGTTTGGGTCCACACCTCAGCCTTCACTCAGCCAACCCACGACAAATATGTTCATTAATCTGCACTGTACCTTTTAAATAAATCTAAAAACAAGGACCTGCTCCCTCTGTAGATATAAAGGGTTTATAAGAAACCCTTTGAATTCTTATTTTTAGGCGATTATACTCCAATGAAAGTCTTACACACTGGGCCTTTACTTCTAAAGACTTCCCCAGATGTCCACAGGGCTGCAGCAGCGCCTCATTAAACTACATGTTGAAACTGCTGGATCCAGTTAATGTTTCCACTTTTCTGTTTTTTTTAACACATTTCAGGGGGTCTTTGTGTAAATGTCCTTCATGCGTCTAATAAATCAGAATTATTCATTCATGAATAATGCGATATCTTGGAAAAGTAAAAATTGAATGGTGAATGTGTTGAAAGGGTTGATTAATGGACACTAAGAGATTTAAAAAAAAAAAAAAAAAACTTTTATGCATTGCTTATGGGTCATAACTGGGTTATTAATGTGAAAAGAGCCATTTATACCCCCAGAGAGAAAATTAAAGCTGCTCACTAATTTTTTTAATTGCTCTACTGGAATAAAGAGCTCTCGGCGCACCCTTGCACGTTCTGATATTTAATGCGCTGTTCATTAAATTAATGAGCTCTCTATGGTGTCCTTCAGAAATAATAAATGAATTATGTTTCCCTACTCCATCGGGTGGGAAAGTAACGCAGCACGTTTGTTTAAACTTGTGAATGACCGCATGGGTTGACGAGAAACTCAAACTGCGGGAATTCAGATGATTCATTGAAGAAAAGGGGGCTGGTGTCAATGACGTGTGTGCGGAGGTGGCGTTGATACAAAGCGGTGTGTGTGTGTGTGGGGGGAGCGCATGTGTGTGTTCCGTGTCTGGGTGTGTCCCTCTCCCAGCAGCAGGTAATCTACTGCCGCATTCCGTCTCTGTCTCTGCTGGAAAGTCTCGAACCGTCCGGGATGGATCTGTTCGCCGTGAAGTCGCCTCTCTTTCTGCTCGCTTTTATCGGTAAGAGGAAAAAGAATACTTACTAGAACACTATTTAACTGGCATTTATATTATTATTATTTTGTGTTTTTGCTTGGTTTCTGTCGTTTGTGCGCGGAAATGTAATGTCCTGGGTGTAGCCTGGTCTGATCTGATCCATGCTGAAATAAGGCCTTAAATATTTAAGAACCACAGAGTAAAGTTTTCTACCTGGTGAACTCCACACCACAGGTCTAACCACTTCACCTGACTTGTCTCTCACCCCCAGGATGCTGTGCGGGGCAGTCCGTACTGCCATCGGGTCCGGTGGACGCAATTGTGGGAAGAAATGTCACGTTAACCACCCTGGTTGACAAAGCAAATTATGATTACATAACCTGGAATTTCAACAACGGGGCTCAATTTAATGTTGCTACCTTGAGTCGGTCAGGGTTGAAAGTGGGCACACGGTTCCAGGGAAGAGCGTCGATCAACGCGACCAACGGATACTTGACCCTGACATCCCTGACGGCAGCTGACGGCGGCGATTATAGCATCAGCATATTATCACCAGAGGGTACACAAACCGGAGATCTACTCCTCCGAGTCCTCGGTAAGTTAACTTTATTTCTTCTTGTACAGTTTCACCTGTCGAGGTGTTGCCTATTTTCCACTGTCGTGGATTACAGCTACACCCAATTAACCAGTGTGTCATAATGATAAATAAATTATATATAGGCTTATATCGATGCTTGCAACGTCTGTGGAAACTGATGCCATTTCAAAATACAATGTTTTAAAATGTTGTATTTAACACTTATGAACAGCCTCTTCTGATTGGACGGCCTGGCAAGAGGTGAACAGCCTCTTCAGGGGAGTGGATAGAGTTTAGTCAGGTGTTTCAAACAGGATTAGGTCATTTTGAAGTGGCCACTCTCTGACTGTAAAGGGCTTCTTGGATTCTGTTTAAGAGGAGTTGACCAGCGGCTCCTAAAGTTAAAGTAACTTTGGATACAACTGCTAGACTTTCTGATGCAGTCTGGGTCCATTTCAAGGCGCAAGCCACACCTGTTGAGGGTGTAGAGCAGTGTAGCCAGGGCTCCAGGACTATATTCCTCGGCGGAGGAGAACAAGAGTCTCCTTTCCCCATTTGATTTGCCCACAATTCAAGCATGTTTTCTACATCATAATGCTCCGTGGCTTCATTAACACCCCTGTACAGTAATGCCTTGAGTGAGTTGGCTACTGTCATTTCTCTAGCTTATCATTTCAACAAATAGCTTTTAAAGTAAGAGAAGTTCAGCTTCAACTGACAGAGACAAGAGCAGGCTCTTACTCTGACACTGTCCCCTCCTGGTTCAGTGTTTGTACCTGCGGTTGGTTTCAGTTCAGTTAGAGGTCTTTGTGCTGTGCTGTGTCTTTTAATGCTTCACAGCCCTCATACTGTAGTACTGCTGATTCAAAGCTCTCTCTCTCTCTCTCTCACTCACACACACACTATAAATATATGTGCTGGCAAAGCCACTGTTTAGCAAGACATTTTGAAGGACTGGTTTTGAACCCACAACTAGGTCTTGGTTTTGGTTTTGCAGCACATTTCCTGTTCAGTCTCAGTGTTTTTCATGTTTATTTTTCTTTTTTCAGATAAGCTCTGATAAGCCTGCTGTGCTCTACCCGCTCAACGGCAAACAAATGTAGATTGATGCTGAAAATAGTCCCCAACAAATGTACTATTTGCTGCTGTTTGTGTAAAAACTACAATGTCCACCTGTTTAAGGGAATTAGGAAGTCTTATTTTGAAAATGAAACGATGTATTTGTGAGGTGTTTTTGAAGATTTGTCTTCAAGTAAGGATCACAGGGCTCGGAGTTCAGCCTCTGAGAGATCAACACATCGTTGGTTTTCATCAGATTTGTTGACAAAATGACAAACTATGTTTGTTTGGCTTCTTAGTTTGTTGAGCTCCCAGAAAAGGTTTATTCTTTTTTCTTTTACATGTTATAACACAGAAACACAGACGGGTTTCTGCATGCAGACATGCAGATTTACACTGAGTGACCTGAATAATAGAAACCAAACAATGTCTGCGACTGATAATCCCATCGATTATCAATTATTCTGTCGAGTTGTTTGTTTGATTAATTAATACATTTATAAAATGGTGACTGTTTTAAAATACTCAGTACAGTTTTCGATTTCCCTAAAGCTACATACACACGTGTTGTTTTGTCCCAACAGCAGTTCAAAACTCAAATATACTCAGTTTACTAAAGCTCATGTCAACCAATCTTTATTTATCAAAGGATGGTTGGCAGCGGTGCAGCACTCCTTTTGACTCTTGTTTCTTTAGTCTCTGCCTTTTGCATCAGTAGATCCTTAACGTCCCTGCAGGGGAATTGGGTTTACAGACAATCAACAGAATTGATCTGAGAAAAATGGTCTCCAAAGTAACACTGTGTGAAGTAACTGGATGACTCTTTGCCCTGCTGTCAGAACTAGTTACTGCTCCTTCACATTGTCCCCACACACCTACTGATGCCTAATCAGCTATCAGCCACCAGCCTGGGTATTTAGAAATGGAGTCCAGCAGGTGAAGTTACTGCAGTTTTTCTCTGAATTCTTCATTCGCTCCATTCAAATGTTGATTTAGTACAATTACGGCTGTGTGAAGAGAAACCGGCCTCGGGCCAGCAGGATGGTAAATTCTCCACCCCCACGTATAATCATGCTGCTTCTAGCTGCTCTGCTCATCAACAAAACTGTAGATTACTTTAATCGCAACAGAAAATCCACCCTGAAATACCTGATTTCTGGGGGGCAAAGCTCTGTTTGACAGTAGAAAAAGCTGAAACAACAATGATGGCAGACTAATTGATTAGTAGAATGAAATAAATTAATCTATTTTGACAGTTGGTTAATCATTTAAGTTATATTTATAGCAGTTCCAAATTCTCAAATGTGAGGTCTTGCTGCTGTTCTTGGTCTTTGGACTGCTGGACAGATAAAACAAGACATTTTAAAGTTGTCACCTGTCTGTCGCTGTCATGTGCATTTATACTATTTTTACGTATTTAAATCTTAAGAATCAGAAAACTAAAGTTAGGGCTGTGCTTTTAATTGAAATGTAATCAACGATTTCAATTTCTGCTTCCAACGATTAACAAGTTGATTGAATTATGCTGCGTACTGTTTCGCAATGATACTTGTTTTGTCTTGTGTTAAATCCAGAGCACCCTTTCCTGTAGAGCGACACCACGCCCCTCCCCAAAAGCCCCAACTCCCTCTCAGTCAGACCGTTGCATGTTTATTTCAGCTGGAGCCGCGATGAGGGGTTATAACTGCTCCAACTTGCTAGTCACCATTAGCTTAAGCCAATGAAATTTTACACTGCACAAATTTTCTCTCCTCTACTTGTAGCTTTACAATTTATACTAAACCAGGGGCGTAAAGCCTTCCTTTACCTGGTCTGTGCTTTTAAAATCTTCACCGTGTCTCCATCGTCTAACTTATTACCAGATTTAAACCTTTCTCACTGTTAGTTTAAGTAACTGCGTCTCCGGTTGAATTTCAGCGAGTTGTCGTGTACCTCACCTCTCACCTGCTCTGCTCCACTCCGATTTCGGATAATGTAAAAAGCATTACATTTTAAAAGTTCAGTTAATGCATGATGTTTCTCTAAGTCAGCAAATCGTGATGATGATAATCCTGATTTTAATTATGACCAAAATAATCGTGATTGTGATTTTTGCCATAATCGATATGATGGAATATACTTAAAACAGCAGGAACAATTAAAAGCAAAGGCCTGGTTCTCTCTGCAGGTAAAAAAAGGCTGATACGATGGTCTAAAATATTGTATTTACTTACTGTTAAAATGCCTTTTTGGAGGAGTCATGATCTCCTCCTTTGCTCTGATCTCAGGCGTCTTTTCTTCCCACACTCAGTTCTATTCATTTGTTCCTCAAGCAAAAACAACCTCCCTGTTTCTCCCTGCAGAGGCGGTGTCC